GTTACTATTCTTATCTTCAGTCTCCTGTTGAGTTCGTAGGTGTTCAGAATGGTTTGATCCCTATTCAGCTGAATTCCTGAGACCAGATGAAATCCAGGTCTCCTACTCCTCCGCCATCTTGCTCCGCTCCCCCATTAGCATTTCTTGTAGGACCCATTTAGTGGTGATGAATCCTTTACCTTTTGCTTATCTGGAAAGTTCTTAATCTGCCCTTCAATTGGGAATGATAACCTTACTGGGTAGAGAATTCTTGGTTGAATTCATTGAACAGATAAAGTAACTGAGCTACTTCAGGGATGGGAGACCATCCCAGCCAGGTGCTCTGGCCAGGAGAGCTCAGATTGTAATGTTTACTCTTTCCTCTCAAGTGAGTCCCTCTATTGATTCCTTTTATACTTTCATTTGCTAGATAATTATTGAGCACCTACTATGTAGTAGGCACTCGGGAACCTTGTGGGATTCAGTGGCAAACAAGCTTGTAGTCCAGTCATGTCCTCTTTCATTTTATAGGTTATGGCTTTCAAATCACAGCCTATTTCCTCAAGAGAGGGATACGCCTTCACTGTTTCGGGGGTTCACAGAGGACTGGTAAGAAACTGATTTCTTGAGTTGACAGGCATTTTGCACTATTAACTTGCTCTAGAGAAGGAATGAAAATTAAGGAACCAAGATTCCAACTTGCTTCATTGCCTTTGTGAAATTGAAGTAGTAATTAAGAATATTTCTAAACATTTGTGATTTTTGTTTTGTTTTGTTTTTTAATTTTCACCGATTTTGAGAACTGTGAGCTGAGCCACGTTGTGCTTCACTCTCCTGCTGCATCTCAGCACTTTCATTGAGCTTCCAGAATGATTTGACAGGCAGTTAAACTATGAATCACTTTATCTTTGTGCACACCAAGTCCCTGGGATACAGAACAAGTGTGTACACGAGAAAATGCTTTCCCAGCCCAGAGCTGTCAGAGCCCTTCTTAGGTGTGTGACAAGGCCAGCTTTCCTCCTCATTTCCCCAAGTCAAGATGTCCACTGGGGAAATGACGTCAAACACGTCCAGCCAACAACAATAAAGTCAGATGCTAATGACAATTCTCCAAGCTGATCTGAACATTGAAAAGAAAATCTAACTCAACTTCCTTGGATGATTTTAATATATAAGATATGAAACAGGGACTTTGAAAATAAACTGTATGAAGATTTGCTCTTGGAATCTTAACAGTGATCTGCACTTTTTAAACTTTGTCACTCAAATATATTACTCTCTTAATGGGGCTTTCCACTTTGTTCAATTCTCTTAGTAAAATAAGCCAGTTATCCTTGTATCTGTCTGTTAAAATGAAGGCTAGCTACTATGTATGGTAGAGATAGTTACTGCCTAAATCTTTATTTAAATATTAAAACAATAAAAATCTCAGTTATGACCTAAGCAAAGAAAAGGTATACAGAAGTTGCTTTCTGTTTATACAATACCTAGCCCCAAAATGTTCAAAATTCATCATTTTGGCATTCTTATTTTTCAGAGAAGAAATGTAAGGAAAAATCAGAGGAATTACTGGATAAAACTGATTGTTTTGAATTTGAATTCTGATCTACTGAGTTGTATTGCAATGTTAGGTTTTGGGCAGAGGGCAGATAATGAATTTTGGGGCTCAGTTCCCTCTTCCTGAAAGTGAGAAGCAGACTACTTACCACTTACTTCATTAAGAAATTTTAAGAATTGGGGTTGCCTGGGTGGCTCAGTTGGTTAAGAATCTGACTTCAGCTCAGGTCATGATCTTGGCGTCCTGGGATTGAGCCATGTGTTGGGCTCTGCATTCAGTGGGGAATCTGCTTCTCCCTCTCCCTTTCGCTCTGTCCCGCCCGCTACTCTTGCACATAGGAACGTGCTCTCTGTCTCTCTCTGTCTCTCTCATAAATAAATAAAAATAAATAATTTGTTTTTTTTTTTTAAGAAATTTTAACAATTAATGAATAAGGACACCTGGGCGGCTTGGTCAGTTAAGCTTCTGCCTTCAGCTCAGGTCAGGATCCCAGAGTCCTGGGATCAGCCCTGCATCAGGCTCCCTGCTCATTGGGAGGGAGCCTGCTTTTCCTTCTCCCTCTGCCGCTCCCCCTGCTTGTACTCTCTCTCTCCCTCACTCTCTCTGTCAAATAAATAACTAAATAACTAATCTTAAAAAAAAAGAATTATTGAATAGATATTAATGACTTTTATTTATTTATTTTTGGGTTTTCAAAGTCTATCCCTAGTCTCCTAACCAGATAAACATCCATGAGAGGTCAGAGTTTCAACACACTCAGGCTTCTGAAATGGGGAGGTCTAATGGGGGTAAGACCAGAATGACAGGTTAGGTCCCACTCAGGGAGGGCTTTGAAGTTTGCAGGTCTGTGGTAGATACTGAGGAGCCAGGATGGGGTTTTGAGCAGGATAAGTGGAGCTGTATTTTTTTTCTTTTTTTAGAACTGGTAACCTGCTTGCACTGAGTAGGATAAAATAGAATAGGGAAGAGTGATCACCAAGGACACAGTGGTGGTCTAGGGGAGAGGTAAGGAGATGGCTATTACTAGAACATCAACTCATTAGGCCTTTGGTGTAATTTAACCTAGCCAGGTGGTATGGTGTTAACTGTGTTTAAGTTGTGTGTCTCTGTAATCAACACCTTCACGCTTGGCTCCTGAGTGTATCAGGCTAAGAGGCGTTATTACCTCAGTCAGTCCCTCACATTGTCATCCATTGTTGGAAATGAACAATGTATGTAAAAGGCTTCACTTATCTGATTCATACCATCCCTCTTTAGAAATATTGGTCATCTAAGAGGGAAGTTTTCACTTTTAGAAAAATGGCTTTGTGATATCAGTATGATACATGGGTATTATAAAAATATTAGAGCAATACAACCAAGTGTAAAGAAGAGAGAAGATCCTCACCTGCCACCCAGAATATACACTATTAGCATCAGCTAAACATCACTCCAGAGATAGGTGGAGGCTGCGTAAGTGAACATGGATGGATAGACAGATGAGAGAGGAGGAAAGATACAGATGGCATTTACCACTTTGTGTTCTTTTTTTTATTGAATGTTGGGGCATCTAGTTCTATGATTCCTTCAGCTTTCTCCACCCGGAAGTCAGTGGTTTTGCTTTAAGAAGTTGTAATGATAGATTAGTGGACTGTAGTGTAATTATATCATCTTTGCTATCACATATTTTACTATTTCCTTATTATTTTTCCTATTAATGACACTGCTATTTTCATAGCCTGATTCAGATTGGGAATTTGCCCTCCAGTTTAGGGGACTGATCTAAGACCAGTTGACCAAAGAGATGATAAGTAAAGTAATTAGTAAGAACGTCAACAGGTTTTCAGATTTTATCTCCTATTCTTCCTCTTCCTATATAAATATGCATACTCATTAGAGAACGTTGATCCTGTTTACCAAATGTGAGTTCTGGTCAGAGAACAGCAAACTGACACAGGGGGAGGGCTGCAAAGGCCCTATCTGGGGGTTTCATGGGATATAATATAATGGTCCAGGGGCTCAGGTGGACCAATTTACAACCTCCTGGGTGCTCCCCAGAGCTCTGTGCTTGCCCCGCCCTGCTGATTGCAAACACTGAAAGGCAAGGAGGAGAAGAGACATGTGTCTGATACATACATGCTTATAACTATAACTGAAAAATCTGGGACCAAGCATTTCTCTGTTCATAGATTTTTGATGCCTTTAGTAACTTGATTTTCTTCATTTTGTGCAGAGCTCCGTGTATTTCCTGACAGATTTGTGGTCTGTGTAAGTCAGCTCTCATTCAGTCGTGATCTTTTGGCAAGTCAGAATGAAGAATTGGTATGTACAAAAACATTATATAAATAAATCTGCTTAAATGACGACTTACTGTAAAAATCAAAAAAAGTGTTGTCTTCAGTTATCATTTGGCTATCCATCATTCAGTGCATGTTTTAAGGGACCAAAAATGTTCTACCTATTGCATGATAATATTAACTGATGTGTTTTGTTTTGTTTGCTTTTATTTTTTTTATCCTGAAGACCCCTTGAAAATTTAGTTTGATCAGCCTTATCTTTTCTACGTCAATTTTAAATGGGAAAGCAACATATCACAAAAACAGTGATGGTGCTTATGATAATATTCAAATGAGATAAAGCAAAGTCTTTCAGTGAAATGAAGCAAAATCCACATGTTTCCACTGGATGCTTTCATTGGGGTCAGTGGCTTTTGAATTTTATTCCATGGTGAATCACTGACATTTTCATGAGAATCAGTACTTTTCCCCAGTGTGTTGTTTCTTTGCTGATAGGGCTTGTTTTCTGTCTCTTTTCTCAGGCTTAGTCTCAAGCTTCATCAGGTCCTGTTTCATTTGTGTTTCATTGGAGTTCTGAATGCAGTTAAATAGATACAAAAAACTCACCCATAATATTGTAGCTTACAGCTTTGTCTTGTAAGCTTAACATATACACTTGAGAGAGTCTACTTGGATGTGTGTGTGTGTGTGTGTGTGTGTGTGTTTCTGTCTGTCTCTTGCTGCAGCCACAGTCCAATCTATCTGAACTTATCTGTGTGCAAACTTTTTTTCATATTTTTGGATATATTACTTGAATTTTAACAAAGAGGAAAAAATCTAGCAGACATGAAACCTGGACATGAAGTGTGACATGATTATTATGCTTCTAAAATAATTTATGGGAATATTAGATTACTCCTTATGTTTATTATTTTTTAATCCATATGAAATGTGAAATTTGGCCCACATGGTCTAAAACCAGCTTCTTACCTCATCTTAAATAAATGCATAGAGACTAAAAGGGTGAATAGGGACCTAGGAAGAATAAAGAGCAGAGAAGCTTTTGTTTGGAGCAGATGAGGGCTTTGGAAAAGCCAGTGGGACCCTTATTTCTTCATCTATCAATTAAATAGCATAAATCAAGCAAATTTGGTGAAAAGTATTAAAAGTGTATTCTTTGAAATGTTCCCAGGATGTTAGAGTTGTCTTAGTAAATTAATAAATGCTAAAGTAGTAATGCTGTTGGCAAGCAACTATAATATAACTTAACTGATTCTCAGAGCAGTGAAGAAATTGATCTGTGGTTTAAGAAAACAATTAGCTAAACCAGGAAGTGTCATTGCTTCAGATGGAATACAGAAGAAATTAAATCTTATATGATATGTAATATTAATACTTAATATCTTAAATTGTTAAGGGTGAATTAAAACATTTCAATACAAATGAAATATTATCCTCCTTAGGGGCACTGGTCTTTATACAGATCTGAGTTTTCTATAGCTGCTGTCATATAAATCCTGTAATCTGGAGGACCTCCTAAATGTTAAGAATTTTCATTCTGAAGAGTTGACTAGTCTGAGCCTTTTACATAAGCCAGTTCAGTTTTCTTGTCTTCAGTATGTTTTGTTTTTTTTTTAAGATTTTATTTATTTATTTGACGGAGATAGAGAGAGAGAGCACAAGTAGGCAGAGAGGCAGGCAGAGGGAGAGGGAGAAGCAGGCTGTCTGCTGAGCAGGGAGCCCAGTGCGGAACTCGATCCCAGGACCCTGGGACCATGACCTGAGCTGAAGGCAGCCGCTTAACCAACTGAGCCACTCAGGCGCCCTTGTCTTCAGTATGTTCTGACTTCTAGTGATAACACTATCAGAGTTTATATCATAAGGGTCTTTCATTGTTTTCAGTGACTCTTTACATGTGCTCTGTCTCTGGCTCTTCAGCTGCTCTTCTTCCACACCTCTGACTGTGCCTTCACGTACACACACTTTCCCAGCCACGCACATGGGAGTCAGCTAACACATAGCACCACTAACCAGCTCCCTTGCTGGACACAGGCTCTGTGCACCCCTTTCTCCTTTCAGGCCTCCAGTCCACCACTTCCTTAAGCTTGTTGTCCCTAGAAACAGTGAAATATCCAGGCCTAGCAAAGGGTCCTCCTGCAAATTGCCCATCAAGCCAAAAACATGGTCCTTCCACTGCAGGTGCCTTGGAGCTTTCACCTCATTGACGTTTGACCTCTGCAGAGCCCAGCTGTCTCAGCCATTTGAGGCTCAATAAACCATCCTTCCTTCCCAGAATTGCCTTCTGTCTGAGAGAAGGCCTGCATACTCCTTGGTATATATTTCATATGCCCAAAGCCAGTAATATCTGGCTTTTGTGTGCATATTCCTTGAACTTCTGGAAAGCTTTGAATTCTTTATCAGTTTACATTGATATTCACCAGAGGGCAGGATCCATCTCGTTTCCGTTGGTAGTTATTCTCCAGGAATGTCTGACTGGGCAAGGCCTGGGAAATTGGCTTCCTAAATAGCTGTATTGGAGATGCGTTTTTGTCAATAAACATCAGTGATTTTCCTGTAAGTGTTTACTGAACTCAGTCTTCCATGGCCCCAGAAGTGATGGGGGAGTGAGCCAGTACGCAAGCAACAGCCTGGGCGCCTCGCTTGTGCCTCAAGTAGCAGATTCCTTTTCCTCCTCCTCCTTCTTTTTTTTTCTTTTTCCTTTTCCTTTTGATTCCTCCATGTCTAAATGACAGTTGGTTAGGAAATCTGGGAGTGCCTATTCAGACCTGCTCTGCCAGGGGGTCCTTTCAGCCTGTATAGAAGGAAGCCAGCTGCCCTTCGCTCCCCGGTTCTTAAAGGTGGTTGCACAAAAGAACCGCTGTTCCAGATCGAGCAGTACAAAGGGAGTAATCTCCCTCTGGAGGGCAGAACGGGTGCAGCCATGCCACCCCCTCACACCCTCCCCCAGCACCAGGGAGGTCTGTTACCCCAGCGTTGGGATTTCTGTTGCCCACCGAGGGGCGTTGGTGCAGGGAGATGCTCCGTGTTGCAATAGCTCTGTACCGAGTGCCCATGTGCCAGGGATGTGGGAATTGTGATGTGTACTTTGGGAAGAAAGGGCATTATTATGAGATGAGTCACTGTATTTTTCTTACTACAGTTTCTCATAAGAAATCTCGAGGCCCTTGTAGCCCCAGTGTTTGACCTATTGCTAGGAATGGAGCCGGGAAGTCTTTCCGAGGGTTTTACCTTTTTTGTTCTGTGGTGTTTGTTCTCCCTTACCTTTTTTTCCTGAGAAATATGAAAAGCATTAAGTAAATTTTGATTGCACTCAGTTATATTCCATTTCAACAATATTGCCTTTCATATTTACAAACCCAGGTCCCTGTGTCGAAGCTGTTTTTTCCCTCAGATGTAAAGCTCTGGGGCTTTTGGGAAATGAAAAATTATTTATTATTTTGATTATTTCTTTATTAAAGTGAATAGCCAATAATCACCAAAGTAATTGCTTTACTAAGTAATAACTTTGTTGTGTAAATAGAACTCTGTATATAGCTGGGGCATTTCAGGGTCAGCACAAAGCTATTATCTCATAGAGCATTGGTTACAGGCACTCCTACCCTCTGGAGATCCTTCCCATCTGTTCTCACCATCACACTTGAACAAGTTGCTGAGTGCTGGCTCTGTGCCAGGAGCTCTGGTAGGGGAGAAAAAAAGAAAAAATAAGAAAGTGGAGCTTGTAGTCTGCCTTCAAGGAGCTTGTAGTCTGCCAGACCAGGGGTACTGAAGGTTACCCTGGTGACCTAAAAAAAAAAATAATTCAAATAGAGCCTCCTTTTTTCTTAAAGATGTATCCATTCTGCACCTTAATGGCGCACTTGGATCCTCTGCTATTTGGAAGAAAGCCCCAAATTCTAAATTATTTTCTTACTTTTAAACCTAAGCTGTAAGTCTGTGATTCTTTTGGAAATTAAAAATGGCATGTAGCACACCAGGGCTGCCTGAAAGTGGGTATATAATTCAGATACTTGAGTTCTCTGCCTCATGCCTGCCCCATTCGGGTTGTGGCCAAGCTGTGGCAGTAGCCGTCAAGGTTCTGCAGACGCACCGGTCACCAGGCCCTATGCGCTAGGCCCTCAATGTAGCATCAGCTCGGGGGACAATCACTGGCATGTCCCGACAGGAGACACTGTTTAACACTAAACTGAACACGTGAGTCAAACTACTGTGTAATGGCAAAGAATTCTGCTAGTTTATGAGTATAAAATTGAAATGAGGAGTCTAAAGAAGCAATAAACTATGCTAGCCGGGATTATTTTTAGCTTGGCTGTCATAATTGAACCTCTGTGGGCCTTAACCCTCATCTCAGTCAAGGGGGGAGGGTATCAAATGATCTCAGAAATCCTTTCTCACACTGAATTTCTGTCCAAGGAAGCAGATGAAAATGTAGCTAAGTAACAACCGTGAAATAATTTTGTACAAAAGAGAACCTCACTTGTAGGTTTAAAAGTTGTTGTAAAAAAATGGGGGGTAGAGCTACATTTTATTTTAGGAAAGATAAAAAGAATATATAAAGAAACATTTCAGACCTTCTGTTTTTAGAAGAAATAAACTACTTAATAGTTAGACTATGCATTAACTTTGCACCCTAATTGACAGAATGTTTTATAAGGGAACTTCTGCCTAACTATAAATGAGATCATTCGAGAAAAGAACTTTTTTTTTTGTATCAAAAAATTAAATAAGTAGTGGATTTTTTTCTGTTTTTCATAATGTGTCATAAGCTTTTTAAGAATCCATTCTTCTCATCTTATTGTATTTCCTAAACAATGCTAGTGGTAAATTACTTGGAAGCCATTAACCAGAGATTCCTGTAGCCCTAGGAAAAGTTCCTTGACGGGGAAGATGTTGTTTCCATATTTCACATTTCCCACAGTGTTCTGAGCTTAGTTTTTTACTTAATAACTGCTTACCAAAATTGTCCGTGTTCATTGTACAGAAACTCTAGAATTCTTTGTTTACAAAGAAAGTAAAAATTATCCACAA